CTGGAGGAAAGGGCACATATTCTTTTCTCTAGGGATAGCTTTCTTTTCACCAGCCAACTCCATCATTACTACCCTCTGTGGAAGTCCTGTCTCAAGTCTAACTAACTCCCAGGGGCTGCAGTTTGCTGTTAGATATAGATTCCTCATCTTCATTCTGGCCTTCCTCACAAGTCTTCGGTTTCTGAGAATAGGGGCATAGGTGGGGTAGGATGGGCTGCCACAGAGGAAGAGTGAAGGGTCAGGCAAAAATTTGAGAGCAGAAGAGGCACCCTCCTGCTTCCAAGTCTCTCCTCCTCTTGCATTTTAGAAAGAGGAGCTTCTCTTTGAGCCTACCCACAAAAAAGTAGGTTCTTGGGGTTAAGATGTTTAGGGGTCAGGGTATGCCTCCTCTATCCCCTTTCTCTTTTCCCCCTTCCCTTCCCACCCCAGCTGCTCTATTTGCAAAGCCACCTGTCACCCCAGAGACAGAGGCCGGAAACTCCTGGTTGCTAGGCAACCCTGTCTCCTTGGCCACCCCCTTCTGTTGCCATGGCTTCCGTGACTGAGTGTGTAGCTGGGGGGGGGGGGAGGCAGAAAGGTTAGGCTGTAAAAGGACTTTCCTGGAGCAGGATGAGAGATGCCTGAATGGTGGTGGGGGGAGGGGGAGGTAAGAATGGGAGGAAGGTGATGGGAGGGACCACTGACTGCATCTTTGGTATAAAGCCTCCAAGCTGAATGAGGGTGAGGAATTCCACTTGGGGAAGAAAGAGCCCTCTAGGAGAGAAAGAGGATGTTGTCTGGGGATCCTTCAAAACTGAATCATAGTTTCTCCAATCACTGGGCCTGAGCCCACGGGGGGACCTGCAAGGGGCCAATGAAAATCATTCTCCAAATAGGAAACTAGACATCTGTTAATCACCCCCACTCAGGGGTCAGGAATATAAACTACTTCCTCATACTAGCAATCTGTCCCTTAAAGGAATTACTCACCTGCCAAGGGGTGCTGCCCCCAGCCCGAGGCTGTCCTCTGAGTGGCAGGGGCTAGGGGGTTCCCTCCCTGAGGCCAGCTTGGTTTTGGCCTTTGCTTCCTCCTCCTCCCCTCTCTGTGTCCAAGGACCATCAGCAGCAGAGCTTGTACCAGAATCTGGTTCAAGAGGGGCTAGTGGGGCAGGGGCAGGTGGGTCGGGTCGGGGAGCTGGGGGTTGGGGAGGCAGCTCAAAGGTGAAGAAGGGGCTCTGGGTTGGGCCAGGTGATGCCAGAGCCTCCAGTGAAGCAAGGCTGGTGTAGGAGGTGCCCTTGGCCCGGTGCGACTCCAGGATGGCTTCAAACACACAACTGAAAGAGTCGGGCCCATCAGCTGAGGGGCTGGTCCCAGGTAGAAAGGGCACAGGCGACTTGAGAGGCTGAGGGTGAGGCATTTGGCTCCCTGGCCTATAGGGGCAGGGAAAAAAAAATCTGATCAGGGGCCCAGAGCCAGATGTTGGACAGCATTTCTTTGAACTCTCTCCCTAAATCTATGAAGGGGGGTCATCATCCCCTTCACAATGGCTCAAGCATCCTAAGGAAAAAGAAAAACCACTGGGTGCAGAGCCCAAGAAATTCAATGTCTCTGCTGCCTCCCAGCCCCACCCATCGCCAGCACCCAATCCCCCTCCCTTTCTCACTGCTAATCTCCCTTTCTCCTCCTTTCCCCTGATCCGCTTCCCTTCTGCCATCCCATTTCTATTTCTGGCAACATCTTAGGAAAAGATGAGGCTCCAAGCTGCAGTGGGGTGTGAGACAGAAAGGAAAGCCCCACAATCCCCAGTCTCCTGCTGGGTCCCAGGATCTGGACTGATGCTCCCATGTCCCCTGACGGGTTTCTAGTCTCTGGCCCCTGATCTTTCAGAACCCTGCTTGTTCTGGTTTGCTGGCCCCACACCTCATAGGATCTTGCTGAGCCCTCACATTCCCAGTGCTCTGCCAGGCCTCTGTCCTCTGTCTGGAAACTCCTGCTTATACTGTCACATTACCAGTAGGAGCCAGCCTGATCCTGAACTCCTGACCCTCCCAGCTCTGTCCCTGGGCTACTGGGAAAGAGAAGTCATTCTTCTTTCCAGGTCCCCACTTACCGGGCCCCCTCTGAGGCCTCAAACACCTCGTCATCCACATCCTCTTCCCCTCCTGCCTCATCCTCATCCTCACTGCCACTGCCCAGGCTGGAACGAGGGCCAGGGCATGGGCTGGGACGTAGGGCGAGTGGACGGGCAGTGCCAGGAGGGCCCTCAGAACTGGGCTGACTCTCGATGGCAGAGTCAGCCTCCTCTCGCTCAGCCAGCACCTCATCAATGTCAGTCTCGCGGTAGCACCTCAGGGGCACTGTATCCAGATCCGTTTCGGAGTACTTGGCTGCTCGCCCCACAGCCACCCCAGAGCCCTGCCCGGAGCCCACCCCATGAGGACATGGGGGGGCCTTCTCTGGGGGCTTAGCACCTGTAATAATCATAGGCATCCAGGTCAGGAAGGTTATCCATATTGGGCCACTGTCTTGATCTTGCAAGCGGAACTCCCCACTGCTCATACTGGCAGGAAGTTCTTTTACTGTCTAGCCACCACTCCTGACACAACCTTTGCTTGATTCTGATGCCAATGGAGCTCATTTCAAACCATGTTCTTGTCACATAGCTTTGAGAAGTCTGAAGGAAGCCAATTCCTTTTTTACTCCGAGGAAGTGGACCCTTGATGTTCTGCCCTCCCCTTCCTCTACCACCCAGTTGTCTGCAGGGCACAGCCCAGCTTCTCTGCAGTCCAGATGGGAAGACTGAGGGCTAGAGGGGCTTTGGATGACTCAGGATTCAGAAAAGATGGAGGCAAGATTTGAAGGAAGCCACCCTACCAGCCCTCAGCTGCTCTGGGGGAAGGCCCTGCCCTCTTTGCCTGGCCGAGATCCTAGGCCTTACCTGAGCTGGGGGGGTCCAAGGAGCCATAGAAGAATTCCCATTTGGCTCGAGCAATTCTCTGAGCGTGAGAGGAGACTTCCCGGGGGGAGGACCAGGTATCCCCCTGTGCCATGGAGGGAGAGAAAGGTACAGGCACCCAGAAATAAAGCCAAATATACAAGGACACAAGAATATGAAATAGAAATAAAAGCACATATGGGGTCGAGATGGAGGTTCAGAGACAAACACAAAGGGAAAGAGAGATTTGGGATATTAATGGACTCAGAGTGATCAGGAAAGAAACCCAAGTCTGACACTAGGGTAAGCCTTGCACCTTCATGGAGGCCCAAAGGCCCAATGGAACCCAAAGCAACTTGCATACCTGGTTCAGGAATCCAGCATGAGCAGGTCCTCGGAATAATGTGGCCAGGTGCTCAGGGGGACCCCCCAGCCCATTGGGGAGAGAGGAGTAAAGGCCATCTGCCCCAACCTGGGATGGGACTGGTGGCCCACATAAGGGGTCCCGGCTGCCAGGAAGGGTAGAGCCTCCTCCCGCTGGGAGTGGGTCTGATGTGGAGGCTTCCAGCCGCAACTTCCGGTTGGAGCCAGGCCCGAGTGCTGGGGTAGGCCTGGGAGGAGAAACTCCACCTAGGTCCCAGCTCCGACTCAAACCTCCAGGAGCAGGTAGCCCATTCAGTGGCTTCACACTGGCCTTCTCCACAAAGCGAAAGATGACTACAGAGCTCCGGGCCCCTGGCGGAGGCTGCCCCGTGGGTGAAGAGGGTGCCCAAGGTGAGGGGGCAATGCGGGGTGAGGGGGGGGCACGTAGAGGTGTACAAGGTGCTGTCACACGTCCCAGGTCCCGGCCTCGGGGACCAGGACCTGCCACTCGTCGTAGCAGGGAGCCTGTGCTGCCATACATGCTGGCTGGGGGGCTTTGTGGTACTGGGCCTTCGGGGAGCCAGCGACGGGGACATCGTGGTGGGGAGATGGCACAGTCACCTTCTGAACAAAAGCGCATGGCACCCTGGGCCATGCTGGGGCCGGGGGTCAGGCTGGAGGGGCAGGGATGGCAAGGCCAGGTGGGGAGTGAGGGGGCTGCATGCTCTTCGGATAGGCCTGCAAGAAAGGAAGGGAAGCAGGGGGTCAATTGCCAGGGAGCTGCGCCTCTAAGAGTTCTAAGGACATAATCCTGCCTGAAATACGGCATCATTGATCCTAGCCTTGGAAGCGACTTCTATGGCGATCTGAGGAAAAAAGTGTCATCCACTCAGGGAGCCCTGGTTCTCCTACTACCTGGGGCTCTGAGAGGAGAGGGGAAGCCAGCTCAGAAGTTCAGTGAGCTGAATCTCTGGAGCAATTTGGATCTACTTCAGATGTGGGGGAGGCTGATTCCCCACATCTGGATCAAGAGTGTCAGCCAATCATAATCAGACAATCCTAGATCACCTATTGTCCCTCTTGTGGGGGTCCTTCACTCAGGGAGGGGAAACAGTCCTCCTGGAAGGGGAGGAAGAACAGGGGTTATGTGGGGACAATGAAGAGCTTAGAGGCACAGGGTAGAGAGGAGGAGAGAGGCCTGAACAGAGGCCCCTACCCCCAATACACATATGCTGAGTAGAAAAGAGACATTCTCCACAAGAGTACACACAAATGCATGCACACAGGCACACACACACGCACATATATGGGTGCACAGCTAAACAGATTCATAGGCAACACCCTCTAGTACACACAGACTCAGACACACGTACACACACTGCTCAAAGACACACCCTCATACACTCAGTCATAACAAATATGTGTGTAATGGAAAGGCACATGCTTGTTTTACACACACAACCTCATCAAGCAGGAACATACAAAGACGTACCCAAATATACACATGGGTTCTCATCCTCCAATGCACATAGACAGGTATATCAGACACAGACATAATCACAGAGTCAAATTCACAAATGCATTCACACACTCAAACACGGACACAAACCCTCCCTTTCCCTAAACGGGTCACCACGATTAGGGAGGGGCATCTCTCCTCCCTTCCTCCCCGCTAGGTGTAAGACAGATCTTGTCCAGCCCAGGAGGGACCATAAAGGGGTAATGGGGGCTTCTGGTAGCAATGCGGGGCCACCTGCATTCTTAAAGCTTAATGGGGGCCCTGCTCAACCCCAGTGCAGCCTCCACTCAGAGCCACGTCAGTACTCACCGCGGCTCGTCCGGAGCTGGAACGGAGAAGAGGCAAAGGAGAGGCTGGGCCCAGCTCAGCTGTGAAGGCAGCGCGGCTCCCGCTCTCTCCAGGCCCGCCCGCCTCTCAGTCCCTCCTCCACTCCCCCTCCCGCCCCAGCGCGCAGCTCAAGCAACGCTAATCCCTCCCTCCCCCCCCACCTCCCTCGTCTTTCAGGGCCCGGAGTCCCAGAGGTTGCCAACCCCCTCTTCGCCAGGTCCCGGCTGGGCTCTCCCGCCAACCTAGGACCCGCTCCAGACGAGGGGGAGAGCATTGGGAACCCCAGGTTGCTTCACATGCCCCACCCCAGTCCTGTCCAGGCTCTCGCCCACTGCCTCCTAAGCCACACGTTGGGCCCAGCTGCACACGTGTGGCCCGCTCCGGACCCCACGCGTGTCCCTAGGAGACTGCCACATGACCTGTTACATGCCACACGCGCTCCCGCCCCCACGAGCACGCGGCCGCGCACAGCGCACCGTACGGGTTTAGACCGGACCCGCCCCCTAAATCCAAGGACCAACTATGGAAGGCACGGGAAGGAAACGCGGTCTGGAACCCTTCTGGGTTCTGAGTTTCAGACCCAGGAGACCTAACCCTGACCACCCACCTTGGGTGTATCAGGAGGAATAAGTCAGACTTGAGAATTTCCTTGCTGTCTGAGTTATTGCTCTCCTCCTTTCAGGGACAAAAGGTTAGACGGGGTGACCCCAAGGCTGGAGGAAGTGGAGCAAAGGCATCCCTTGTGCCCTTAGCTAGGGTGAGAGGGGATCTGGCTATTTTAAGAAAGCGCCACACGAGTTACTATGGCAACAACTCTCCTTCGGAAGGCCAGGATGGGCAGACGATGCCATCGGAAGGAAGAAGGGGGTCGGTTCGGGCGGTCAGGGGGTGCGAGGACCTGCGAGGCGGGGGAGTGCGGGGCTCACCGCGGGGAAGGGTGACGCGGATCCCGCGTGGTGCTGAAGGGGACAGCGCCAGATTTGTCGTATGGCGCAGGCGCAGAAGCACGAATGAAGTGGGGAGGGAGAAGAGGCGCGCGGCCCGAGGTGGCGCGCGCCCACACAGCTGTATCTCTGCAGAGCTCAGTCCTGTCTACTCCTTTCCCACGCCGGCTGGGAAAGATGTAAGCCCCTCATCCAACTTGACCCTTTTCTGGTCCTGTCCGGGGGCTGGCTTCTCCCTTGTTACGTGGACTGAGGTAGCCGTGGAAAGGATATCTGGGTTCTCTTCGTGTTGTTTGATCCTGGCCAAGGAGCTTTCTCCGCAGGATCTCAGATTGTCCATTTTTAAAACGGAGTGATAGTACAGACCTGCCCATTTTGCAGAAGTGCCCAATGCCCTGAAAAGGTATGGGAAACAGCTTTTGGTACAAAAAGGCAGCTGAAGTGGTTGCACAGAAGGGCTTAACCATGAACCATTGTAGTAGTGGCCCTGGGGTGCCTCACATTCACCATACCCACCCCTTGGATCATGGGTGAAAACTATGGAGGAAAACTACGTGCTCCTCAGGAAGGAACCTGGGGCTAAGACCTAGGGGTGAGGGCTGAGAAGGTGGCCTAGTGGTAGAGTGCTTGCCTCGCATGCATGAGGCCCTGGGTTCGATTCCTCAGCACCACAGAAGCAGAAAAAGCTGGAAGTGGTGTTGT